ACACACAATATAAAATAAATAATAAAATATACAATAATAAAAAGACAACCCAATTACAAATGGGTAAAGGATCTGAATAAACATTTCTCCAAAGATGATATACAAATGGCTGATAAGCACATGAAAAGATGCTTGACATCATCAGCCATCAGGAAAATGCAAATCAAAACCACAGTGTGATATTACTTCACACCCACTAGGATGGTGATAATAAAAAAGATAGATAATAAGTGTTGGTGAGGATGTGGAGAAACTGGGAAACCTCATACACTGTTGGTTAAAATGTAAACTAGTGCAGCCACTTTAGAATAAGCCTGGCAGTTTCTGAAAAGGTTAAATAGTTACCATATCACCTAGTAATTCTTCTCCTAAGTATATATCCAAGAAAAATGAAAACATATATTCACACAAAAACTTGTGCAAGAATGTTCACAGCTGCATTATTCATAATAGCCAAAAAAGCAGAAGCAGTCCAAACGTCAATTCACTGACGAGTGAATAAAGAAAATGTGGTAAATCCATACAATGGAATATTATTCAGCCATGAAAAGGAATGAAGTATTGATACCTCCAACAGCATGGATGAACTTTGAAAACATCGAGTGAAAGAAGCAAATCACCAATGACCACATATTATGTGTTTCTATTTATATCAAATGTCCATAACAGGCAAATCTATAGAGACAGAAATTAGATTAATAGTTGCCTAATGCTGGGAGGGAGTTTCGGGGATAGGGAATGACTACTAATGGGTACAGGGTTTCCTTTGGAGTGATAAAGTTGACTATGGTGATGGTTACACATATCTGTGAATTAACTAAATACAACTGAATTTTATATTTTAAAAGAGCACATTATACAGTATTCAAATTATATCTCAATAAAGCTCTTATATTGAGGAGAAAAGCACTTAAAACAATACCTGATGCATAATAAGTGTTCTACATTTATTAGCTATTACTGTTAATCAGTGGGATCAAAGCATCCCTTGGAGGTTATACACTCTAATCCTCTTATGTTACAGATGAAGGAGCCGAGGGACACGCGCCAAGTTTGCATGACTAGTAGGTAGGAGTCTGTACTGCATTAGGAACTTCACCCAGTTTTGATCAGTACGTTCTCGGGACCTTTGAGTTCTCTTTCAACAATCTGAAAAACCGACCTTGGGTCAAAAGTTCCCACGTCTGAGAAAAACTCAAGCCAAACCAGTTCTCCAAAGTTAAGACAGAATTTATGCTTTAAAAATAGAGACACAGAACTCCTTTTGGAAACAGCTAGCAAATTCTTGTAAGGAAGTCTACGCCACGGGGGTGGGTCAGGCTTGTATGAATAAGTTACAGTGCAATCACTTCTGAAAACTATATTTTAAGGTTTTAAGGGAAAGGGAAACAGACGCGTCTCGGACCTGTGTGTGGGATGGGTGTAGCAGACTTACAGAGAGGCTCCCATGACCGTACGAAAAGGAATCTACTGCTGAAAGCCAATTCACGTCCTTAAAAGGCCACAAGGAGAGAAATTAAACTTAGAAGGAACGTTTTAAGGCTGTGCTGTTATAAAACTGTGGGCCATGTAGCTGATAAATAATGACAGTGAGGGTGGGGAGCAGAAGAGAGTCGTTTGAACTTGTCACCCCACACAGAGAACAGCATCCCTCAAGAGAGCATCCGTAGCTTTCCATTTTCAGATGCCGGGAGGTGTGAGGGTGGAAAGGCTGGGTGGAGAGGCACAAAGAGGAAGGTGAGATAGTGGGCCTGGGCTCTCAGGCCAGGCTGAAAGTCATCAGGAAAAGTGTGAAGAAAAACCCAGGGATACCAGGAATGGTGGGGACAAAGGCAAAAAGGTAAACGTCTACAAGTCTATCTCTTCCCCACTCCTGGAAAGAAAGCCTGTCACAAAAGCAACTGGTCCGATTTTCTTAGCACACATCTCTCATCCTCTGAATGAGCCCCAATAAACTCACTGACCTCCATGACTGGCCCACGTATCCTCTGGCCACCCCACCCACCCAGGCTGCACCTCACTTTGGGATTTCCCCTAATGCTTTCCACTTTCCTTTCTAACTTTATCACCAAGGAAGCCACAGAAATGAATAAGGGGATTCAAAAGAAATATTTTAACATTATATAATACTAGAGGCCCGGCGCACGAAATTTGTGCACGGGTAGAGTCTCTAGGCCTGACCAGCCAGGGCCGATCAGGTTCCCCGCCTCCCCCCCTCCTCCTTCCCTCGCTCCCTCAGTGCTCCACCACTGCTGGTCACCTGCCATGTTCTGTGCCGCCTCCTGGTGGTCAGCGCATGTCATAGCAA